GAGCAAATACCTTAATATTATTATTATTATTATTATTATTAAATTAGACATCACCATAGATACAAGTGAGATGCCTGCATCTCAAACTAAACACTGTCAAATATAAAAACATAAAAAAAGCTCATAAATAGCATTCTAAATAGGTTTAAACGAAAAAGAACAGCAATAAAAAAATATTAATTGTCCCACAATGTTTTCTTGTCATTTAGCTCACTGAGTAGATCAACACGTAGCAGGCACTGTGAGTGTAAACAGTCTCAGAGGTCGCAAACAGTACGTCAGCACAGTGCATCCTTACGACACATTTCAAAAGGCTACATGTAAAATGTGGCATACACTTATTTTCTTAAACATAAGGAATAAACATACATTCTGTTCTGTATTTTAGATGTGGTTATAATGACAGCCTACACAAAGCCTTGCACAAGGGTTGGTCAAAAAGTACTGAGACTTTTCATGAGCAGTAGCTGTCTTGACGAAGGTTGTTGTGATGTTGACATCAGAGTTAGACATGTTTTCATGACCACTGGTAAGTGCACATTTGGGGTTTTTTTCAAGAAAAACTGGAGCAGAGAGCAAACATCACATTCTGCATTTGGAGGATCATCACTGGTGATAAAAGGCGGGTCTGCAGCTACCATCAAGAGAAGAAACAACAGTTTTTACAGCAATGACCCAAAGTTTCAAAGCCAAAAAGGCCTGTCAGGTCAGGAGGACTTTAGACATTCATGTGGTTGTGCACTCTGACATGTGAGAGCTCAAATGTTTTGTGCCCATTGTTGATTACACACATTTTTTTGGCCACAACAACCTAATTGTTGCTCTCCAAATTCCCTGCTCACCAAATTTGGCCCCCTGTGACTTCTCCCTCTTCCTCAAAATAAAACACAAGTGGAGGGTCGCTTCAGGACTTCCAGGGAGCTTTTCAAATGTTGCAGGAACATAAGGAGCAGTGTCTCGCTACATGAAAAAACTAACTTGACAAGGATGGTAGTTACATTTAAATTGAGTGAGGTTTTTGCTTTTTTACAGGCGCTGCCTTATAACTTTTTGATCAACCCTCGTAATGCATCAAGAACTTTGCAACTCTTGAATTTTCATCTTAATTGTTTTGTACTGAACTTTTGTGTGTCAGAACAGCGTCTGCACATCACCATGTGTAAACAAGACTGAGGGTGCAGCCATGTTAGCAGCTTTGAGAGGCTGTATTTACTGAATCTACAGCGATGCTTTGAGCTAATGTCAATTTAATAACATGCTGATGCTATAAAGGCTTTATGTTTGCCATGCCCATCATCTTAGTTTAGCATGTTTGCATGCTAACACTGGCTGATTTGCACAAAAACCTTAGTCACCAATTGAATGGTAGTTTTGGAGGCATTTGGTGCTGAATTTGTAAGTGTTAAGCTCATTGAAAATGAGACGTAATGATGGTGCTGAATGAAACAGTGGGAAAACAGAACTTCTTCAGCATATTTCATGACAATCCACCCAACAGTTGAGATATTTCAATCAGGACCGCAAATGTAACGGTGCTACAAGGGAACCAGATTTTCTTCCAGTCCATCTTTGAAATGTTTCACAGAAAAAGTAAAAATTTTGACGTACAGGTGGCGCCACAGAAAAAACATCAAGGGACACCACTGATGTCTGCATCGAACTTCATGGCAATTCCTCCAATGGATATTTCGGTCTCGACCAAAGCAGTGGGCAGCCTGATCTCAAAATACACCAGCAGCATGGCTAAAAATCCTCATTTAAAAAAAAAAAAATTGCAAGTGGTTTTGTAGGAAGACATGAGCAGTTGCTTGCATTCTGAAGGATTTGTTCGTCTTAACGTCCGGGGCAACGGGATTGTCTCTGGAGACGACGTAGGGCTCTTTTTGACCAGTGACAGAAGGCTTGTAGCCGGTCAGAGATCTCTACAGAGAACTTTAGAGCATCAAAGGCTAAGGAGACTTCAGGGAGGGAAGGAGACGTTGTCTGAGGAACCTCTTCCCTGATCTAAAGATGGAGAAAAATCAACACATGAGGTCACATTAACTCAGAGGCAGCTAGTTTGTTGTTCACAATCTGAGAAAGCAGTGTTTACATAAACCTCATTTGTTTCTTCATAAAGCCACAATAGATCGATTTTTGCATTTATGGTTGATTTTAATGGGAAACTTTACACCTGAACAAAAAGTTAAAACTTTCAGTTTTAACACTTTAAACACGCTTTGTATGAATGCAAAGTTTTATTATAGCAAAATGTCAATTAAAAAATAAATAAATAAATAAAAAACCTGCATGCTGTTGACTTTCTCTATATTTTTTTTATCATTTGTTTCTTCAAGAGGGAAAATAGAAGTCTTTCTTTTATCATACTTCAGTTACTTTAAACTTCACTACACTATAGAAAACATAAAACAATGTAATATTCTAACAGCTTGGGTGCCAAAGAAATAGTTTAAAATAACATAAAATAATAATTCCATAAAAATATAGCAATTTTCCATAACTAAAATAGATTTTCTAAACATAATTTTACATAAATGCTGTATTTATTTGTCTTTTGATGTTTTATGATCCCTATTTACATAATAAAACAACTAAATTACCCATGCTATTGATAATATAAAGAACAACAGTATCATTCAATAGATAGATTTTTAAAAAAGAGACAGTTTCATGTCATTTTATGTCAAAAGATGACTTTTTTTTGTAATAAATTCTAATTTATGGTTATTCACAGTCACACATTTTAATGTTTTTTTATACTAAGCATGTAAATTTAAAGTATATTTTTGCAATTTTATTGATATTATGCATGGAAAATACTGAGAAAAATAATTGGAAAATTTTGTACAATTAAATTTTTACATTTTTTTTCAGTGAGTGGAAATTTGATAATGACTTTGATCTTATGATTTCACATATTCTAAAATTTGTGGGTCTATCATTTTTCATTTTTCCCTTTTGTAACTTTGTGATATTCTGTAACTGTAGCACTACCGTAAAATTAAGACACATTACTGCCACTAAAAGGTGTCAATGTAAAATGAGTGAAACATATTTTTTGTGAAAGCAAGGTGTTTGAGCTTTTCTGTTCTTTTTTGATTAAATTTGACCTTTTCCCTTTCATTTTTCGTAAGCTTTACGATGTTTTTGTCTATTTTTCAGTGTTAATATCATATCTTTATCATGTCCTGTTTAGGTTTTGTTCCAGGCAGTAAAATATCTTTGCTAATTTTATAATTATTTTTTAGTTTTATTTATGGTTTAAATCGTCCATGTAAATAAACCAAAACCAGTCTGGTGTTCTCACCTGATGAAGGGACGTGTTGGCGAGGCGGAACAGCTGCTGGAGCTGAGTACTTGTGGTCTCAGCTGACTGAATGGGCAAACTGACATTTTCTTTTGCAGTTTTCAGCCAGTCGACGTGCACCCTGAAGGACAGAGTGTGGGAGTACAGCTGAGAGAGCGACTCGTTGACCTGCGGGGACATTAAATACACTGATTTACTGACTCGAGAAGCGCTCAGATGCCGTGTTTCCACAATGAACGAGTGAAATCTGAACTGAATTCCTTGATTCCGTCATTACCTTCAACGAGTTGAAATCGCCAACAGTGTGTTGAATGTGAGGAAGACTGCTCAGTCTGTGTTCTACAGCAGCAAACTTTACGAGTTCCTCTTTTGTCTGTTGGAAACATAAGGAGAAGAGCCGGTTAAAACACACCCACAGTTCCATATATCACAGCAAATGAAAGTGGAATCCTGATGAGAAACGAGGTTTTGTCTTGAATCAATAGTTTAGATGAATAAATACACATTTCATGTTTAGTTCACGTTAAGTTTAGTACATTTAAAGGTCTTTTGTGATAAATGTTAGCCTAATTCTCTTGTGTTTGCATGGAGGAATAATCATGTATAATAAAACCATATACAGACAATTAAAATATGAAATATTAATTCAAGTATACTGTGTATATTGTCTCATAGTCGTCTAAACTCGGCAGATTCCATTAAAGAAACAACAACTATTTATTGCAACAATTTGTGATTTTTGTCTGTTTTTGTTTTTCCACCAGTATACCCTCAAAAACTCATGATGACAAAGTGTAAATGGGTTTTATTTTATTTATTAAAAGTCAGAATTTACTACCTCTCATTAACAAAGTATTCAGACTCTTTGCTGTGGGTCCAAATAGTGATCAGGTACTTCCTGTTTGCTTTAATTATCCTTAAGGTGGAATCAAACTGGAGTCCAGATATGGGTAAATGAGTGTCGATCAAGGAGACAAAATGACAACTTTATTCATTTAAAATGAAATCTGCAACACAATTTTGTGCAAAATGTGAAAGAGTGAATACTTTCTGAAGCAACTTTATGTTTATTGCATTCTTCGTGCTATAAAGAGGTTTAATCTACACGGTTGTAATGACAGCTAAAGGTAAAACCTGCAGACTGTCTAATCTATTATTGATGTTAACCTTTTCTGTATGCTATGTTAAATGTTATTTGCATAATATATGTATTTTCTTCTTGGCAGGATCTTTATTCAATGTGTTAATTTAACAAAAGTTAACTTTTAATTAACTTTTGTTCTCCTTTTGTGCATTTCAAGCTGTTTCAATTACATACTATGTGACTTTTCACATTCCTGCACACTGGGAACATCTTTATTATTTTTTATTATTGCTTATAATCCCTTGTGTCTGCTACACTTGCTGCTAATTTGTCTTGCAACACATTTTAAATCTTCATTTTGGTGTCTACATAGTCAATTCCTCATATGATAAAACCTACTTGCCAGTGTAAATGTTCATTCTGATTGTAGGGACTAAATTTGTTTAATGTTTACTGCTGATATCAGGTCAGTAGAGGTACTTCTAATGATTATTTCCAATATTAATATGTATTGTGAGCAGACTGACATTTATCGAGACCTTTCTGTATTCATTATTTATTAATTGATTCACTTTTTCCTCATTAATGTAAATGTATTTCTGCAGGTTCATCTGCATGTGGCCTCTGCAACATTTTGAAGATGTTTTTATTTTTGAGAGTCCAATTTGGTCCTTGATGTTTTTAACATTCATATGATAGTATTTTACTTATTAAATGGAAAAAGATGTTGGAGCACATTTATGATTAGAACTATATAGTGTGTTTTTTTCTAACTTTTCTAACTGTATGTTGTTAAAAATTAAGAAGAGTGATGCTTTTTAATTCCTGCCCTCTTATAGCATTAGGCAAATGTTAAATGGTTGCAGAGTTCAGCTACTCTCTATTTAAGATGACATCTCTTTGTAATAAACCATTTGGCTGATGAAGACTGAGCTCTGAAACGTTGCAAATAAATGCATTTTTGCAAGGTGGACTGCTTGCAGGAGACTGTTCTCCACATTTCTCAAGAAAAAAATGTGCAAAGAGTTTCTCTAAGTGAAAGCTGAAACAAGTAATGATGCTTTTTTTGTCTCTGGTATTACATTTTGATTCTTATGTTGCTAAAATTATGCAATGCAGCAAAGATGATAAGAAAACTAAACCTAAAATCGTGGAAATAAGTGAAAAAATGAGCACAGAGCGAGTTCAGGAAGTATGAAGTGAGACTTTACCAAGTTATGCAGCCTTTTCGATGAGTTCAGGAGTTTGTCCACCTGATGGATCATTGATCCAAACATGCTGCAGCTAAGGGTGGACTGACACGACGAATGGATGAGCAGCTCAGCCAATAGCAGCAGACGGAAAAGACAAGAGGTGGAGTCACTGATTACTGCAAAGACAAGAAACAGATGCAAAAAATAAAAATTTAACTCAAAGTGATGAACTTTTTCCTCTGCTTGCTTCTGTTTTTCATTTCTTCTGAAGCTGTAATGTATTTTGGCCACATAAGTCCTTTGGCTTCATCAAAATACAATCTGTCACATTAAAGAGCCTCTGAGCTTTAGCGCTCGTTCCAATTTATTTCAAAGAGAATTACTCAGTGTTTACAGTCGACAGGTGGCTACTGGGCTGCGGCGGAAAGTAACACAACTCAGATTTCCTCCCCTCTCTTTGACCCAGGCCTTCTGTGTGTGAATCAGAAAGAAAACCGCAGAGCAGCGCGGAAACTCGTTTTCATTTCCAACCCAAAATCTAAACCACACGACCCAGAGGATTAATCCTGAAGGCAGCCCAGTCCAGCCCCTGTGAACGCTTCAATCTGTGTTTGTCACGATAGTAAGGAAACTGTTTATCTGGCATAAGTGGCTTAATTGCAGATGTCTGCCGGTGGAGCATTAACACAAAACAACAATATAACACTTTGGATAACAAACAACTCATGCGTTTGCCACCATTAGTTCAAAAGCTCACTCAGTAAAACACATGGCCAGCATCCTTCACTTCATTCTGGTATCAGATCGTTGCATCCTGCCATCCAGACATAAACATTCACCCAGAAAATCAGATAAGAGCAGCACTACTGATGAAGGTTTACACACCAAAACAGGTCGGATGTTGGTTTTCTGTTTGCTTGTTTAGCAGCTGAATAAGTGTGGGTGTGTGAGAGGAGGAAACAGACACATTTCTGCGCAGCGATAGCTCGTATTTCTGGGAAACAAACCAAAGGTTAGCAGGTCAGTTTCCGGATTACTTAACATATTCCGTCACAAATCTACGTGTGACCATGACCTGCATACAGACAGCTTATTTCATGCACTGCTTCAGGTAAAAATGCATCTCGAAAGCGTCGAAACAGCAGAAATCGCTGGTTTAAACTGCTTGAATGAGTGTTCTGACAACAACTCTTGCAGCAGATGGGTACATTCAAAGATAATTCTGAATTGTAGTTGTGTTCCTATTTGTTATTATTTTAATATTATATTCACAAGTATTCACAGAGAGCTGAGAATACAGTGACATAAAAAGGTGGAAAAGGCAGTTAGACTTTTTTTATATACCTACTAGTCTGCAGGTGTATTTAAAATGTATGTGTTATGTGCTGATCTAAGATATCTGGGTGCAAATACAAAGAAAAATTATGGCTGGAACTAAGATTTCTCAGAATTTACTAACTTCTTTCCTCAACTTTGACCAGCAGAAGAGTTCAATTTACCTCCAAAATAACATTTCAGTTCGATAATCTTGCTGAAGTGTTGGCTTGTTTGTCATTTTGGCCTTTATTTCAGAGTTTTCCTGGATTTTAATCATTACCTCTACACATGTAATAAGCACAACTGCTAGAAATAAGGAACAAAACTACAAAAAATAAGCGTGTCTGAACGTAAGATTTGAGATTTGCATCTTGTCTCTTAACCCTAAAAACCCACGTTTCCTCACAGTTGCATTTTTTGAGCCACTTGGAGGCAGTGGAAGAAACACACACTGGCGTATTAAGATTCATGTGGTTTCCGCCACAGCTGCAACTCCAACTAAAAAAAAAAAAACACATGCACTCTACATACAGGTGTACTCCTACTTACTGCAAACATGCAGGCGGCCTCTTCTTTAGCTCCTCTGTGCTAAATAGCTAGATGCTACCTTCATCTATCTGCCATTTGTTGCTGAGCAGGTTGTATACATTGAGTTTATTGGAGCATTTTCACTTAAAACCGCAGAGAGCTGCTGCTGGACTGAAGTCAATGAAGCAGAAGTTGCAGGCGTTTAAACCAAAATAATGAGACGAAAGCTCCGGAAAGCTGAAGGAGTTCGATGCTGATTCTTTGCGGGTTTGTCGCTTGTGTTGATCTGAACATGATGATTAGTCAAATGCAGCTGCTGTGTCGTTCTGCTGAGGCAATAAAAGCAACAAAGCATTTTAATGGTTTCTGTTATAGGACGCTGGCATCCTACTTTAATGTTTTCAATCAGCTAAAGCAATTAAAATGTTTTTGATTGAATATATGTGCCTGTGTGTTTGAATCTCTCCTCTTATGTTTTAATAAAGAAGGATCCTCAAGCTGTCATGTGTGTGTGCGTTTTCATCCAGAACTCCTTCAATCAATGTGCGAATGAATAATTCCCTCAAATCCTCTGAAGTTTGTTTTGTCTCGGCCTCTTAATCTTCCTTCATCAATGATGATCTCTGTTCAAGGAAACAACTCTTTAATCAAGATTAGTTCATGTCTGTAAATCTATCCGCTGGTTTATGCAACTTCAAAAATCCCATATCCGGGGCAACAAAGAAGCAAACTGTCCGTTAGCGTGAGATCATGGATAAGGAATGAAAGGTATGCTGTGGGTTTTTTTCTCCTTTCTTTTTTCCCAGCCTGCTCTGGGCCTCCGATTGGAAAAGGGAGAGGGGAGCAGGGGGAGCGGTCTGACTCAGATTAATCTCCGTGTGGTGACTTCACTGGGCAGACGCCTCCGGCTGCACTCTTTACAGGGAAAACATCCACTTTGTCCAAGTGTCGGAGCACTTTAAACATTTTTCCTGCCATTCAGACACTCACAGCGGGGCACTGTGGGGATTCTTCACGGGTCAAAGGTCAAGCACAAAGACAAGCAGTTAAAATTAGCTTTTTTTAATCAGATATACAGTCTTTTACACGTCAGGAATTAGAGTTGTTGGAAGTACTATACTATACTATTGCATATTTTACTATGTTATACTATAACATACTCAAACACTGCAGGTTTTACAACATGTTATATGGCTGCACCGTGTCTACCGTGTCGTCCTCGTAGTACTGTGATTACCACCAGTTTTGGAAATCCTCTACTCACTTTAACCAGGAAACAACGGCCACATTGACCCTTAATGCCACATTGTACAGCTCACATTGACTGCAATACACCCCAGACAGATGAAGACGAAGTGGATTGACCGGCCCATCTGAAAGTGATCCCAAAATGCAGCCAGACAACTTTATATTCAGCCTCGTCATATCTCACACTAACTCAACCGTGTTGCACAAGCAATCAAGTGTCAGTATGTGGCGAGAAACAAAAACACATCAATCCTCGGGGCCTCATTGATTCATGAGAAAGAGGAAGAAAATGTGAAGGAGGAAGGACATTGGAGGAGATCTCATTCAACGGCAGAAAGAAAAAAAAAACAACAGCAAAAAAAAAAAAACAGCTGCTCTGGGAAAGTCCAGCTACAGTAATGGTGTTGAATTTATTTCAAGCGGAAAAGTTCCAGGCTCACTATGTTTAGCCGCACTTTTCTTTTTTTTTTTTTGCAGAAGACCTCCACTCCGCCCTGCGCTCCTCTCTGTAGGCCACCCAGTTATCACAAACTACTCATCAGCTGCACTGCTAACACTGTTTACAGCCACAGTAAACACGGACCATGTTAGCACGTCGGAGAAGATCTGTAGGCAGCTTGAAGCCATCGGAGCTAATTTAAAGCAGCCCGTTGCGATTCTCTGAAGTAAAACAGGCCTATAGTATAATTATTATTATTTTACAACATACTTTAGCATGAATTTTTATGACATTTTTAACAACATGACGTCTTTTACGACATACTAGGACATGTTTCAGAACTTATTACACCATGATTCTCACAACATGCTATACTATGATGTTTTTAATGCTGTTTTTAATGACATACTACACATTTAGTACCACATACTGCACTGTGGCTTTATCCTACATGACTTTGTGCATGACAGCAGACTCCTGCAGACATGCCTTGGCTGCCGTTGGTAAAGTTTGCAAGCAACGTTTAGTGTCCAATACTTCCCAGATTGTCAAATTTAACATCACAAAGTTGCAAGTAAGACAATATTACAGCATAGTATCAACTGCAGCGATTCAGTTTTTATTAGACGTTACACTAACTGTCATTACTCTTCCCAGCAATGAGATACAGTTTTGGCTTCAGCGGTGGTGACAGCGGTTTGATGGAATCAAGTTGATTGGTTGGTTTTGAGTTCTGGTTTGGCACAAAAGGAGGTTTGGATTCAAAAATGTCTCTTAACCCATAAAACCAACAAGGACTAACGTTTATCTCCGTATTAACCGCCCCGAAACAAATCACAACTTGCTGAATCACAGTATCTCATAAAACACCCTGCAGGGCTCCATGGAGCTAATTACTTTCCAGCTGACTTGTTTTCAAATGACTGTCAGTAAATTTCACTGAATATTATGTAAAGGTTTACATTTACCTGGCTGCATTTCTCACAGGTAGGGAGGTGACACCTGAGACGCGCTGCTCGTAGAAACAGAAGCTATTCTGTGCCAAAGCCTCATTCAGGAGAATCCCAGGAGACAGGTCATTAACCAGACTTTTACACTTCCAGAACAAACCCCTTTGTTTGTGTGGTACAACCCAGAAATTCTGAACAGTTTCTGATAAAGCGTAAACCTCTCCTTTGTGTCTCCAACTTCTCTCAAAAAAAAAGTTTTCCATGCTCATTGCTTTCCTGATACCTGACACTATGACTTCCTTATCTTTCTGAAACCTCTCTGTTAAGGGTTTTCCCCCTCCTTGAATGTTATTTTCTTGACTTGTTTGTGTCATGTGGCAGCTGCAGTCTCTTCCAACAGCTGCAAAGTGCACTCTGGCTTTTATTATAACACCAAAAATATTGCAAGCCAGAAAACAAAACAAAAAAAAAACAATTCCCTGATTGAGCGAGAAATTGCAGCATACACTTCTCAGCATGAGTCAGACACTGAAGACAAAAGTGGCACTGTCTAGACTGTTTGACAGCATTTCCGGAGCAGACAGTTGTGGTGAGTTCAAGGTGAGTTGAGGTGAAACCTTTCACTGATTTCAGCCTGATATCATCTAAAAAAAAAACAAATTGTGGTTTAAGTGCAGCAACAAAATCGTTTCCGAATCCAAGGAAGGTTTAAACACTGGATCCCACAAACAGATGTTCGCTCTCTATTCAAGCATCCAGAAGTGATGAAAAAGTGAAAAGCTATTTGCTATCAGCTGTTGCATCATTGGTTTTTTGTACATGCAATAAGGGACGTCGTGCTGCAATCGCTTTCACTCATGCTAATGACACAAAATTTGGAAGAGCTGTTGGAAAATTACCCAAGAAGACATCAGCAAAAAAAAAAAAAAAAAAAAAAGGTCTGTCAAACCGAAAAACATCCAGCAGCGGAGCAGCGTTACAGTCATGCATCTGGCAGAATAAACAGCTGTGACAGCATTACAGCTCAGAACAAAGTTGCTTAAGAAGTGAAAGGGTTCGTCTCTGATGTGTTTTAGTCGTTTCGTCAGCACACACTCACACACGAACGCGCAGGGCCGCACATAATCACACGCTTCCACCGTTTCCGTTCTGCTTCGTGCCTCTCTTTTGCTGAGTCAGACAAACAAACAGTGGAGTTTCCTGTGTTTTCTCTGCGACACAGAGCTGCTCTCAGTGAACGTCTCAACAGGTGCTCTGTTGACGCTGAAGGAAGCTGCTGTACGGCTTGACTTTCAGACACCGTGTTTCATGATCAAAGCGAGGACACGTCGTTTTAATGTGTTTTCAAAGGTCTGTCTTATATTAAAAAGAAAAAAAATCTGCACTGGAAAAAAGAGCAGTAAAAAAAATTATACGATAATATTTGAGAAGCTGGTTCACCAAAAAACACAGGAAAAGAATGAAAAATAACCACCGAATTAAAAAAAAAAAGAATTTTCTTTTATTAAAACAGATTTTCACATCTTTATTTTGCGTCGTTATCAGGTCAAAACCTACAGATTTGTGGACTGAGCCCTCATTTTGGATCACCATTACATCCGTGTGTAAACAACTGCAGTGTCACATGTCTCAGTATCCTATTTCCCGATATTTCATCAAGCTTGATGCAGACGGTGTGACATCACTCCAGGAAGCAGCCCTATCAGCTTGATTCCCTGGAATTAACCCTCACTCTGTCATTGTTTATGCATCCAGCTGGTGTTTTCGTGAGAGGAAATGAACTCTGAATGATCAAAAAGGCTCCTAATCGTGTAGTTTTCTGCTTTTATATCCCTGAAGCCATCATCACACTGCAATTATGTCACACTTATAAACATATCTACATCAAAGCTCTGGGAAAGTTGCTCAAATAGTAACCATTATGGGTTAAAAATTCACGGAGGCAGCGGTGTGAGTAATAATGGGCTTGTTTGTAGGTCAAAGTGCCAACAGTTGTGGAGATGGATGGTTTACAATGTGGTGAACAGACTTTTAAGCTGCTGTTTTTCTTCTTCTTCTTTTTTTTTTTCACTCGCAAAGCTACACTCAGCCGCTCAGGCGAACTGTCATAAACGCTGACTCGCTCCGTGTCTTTGTACATCAGTGATGTGAGCTCATACAGTGAGTGTGCAGATTGCATTACAGTAAGTGATGTGCAATGACGACATCACCGTCTGCTTCACCCCCCTCAGACAAGCGCACTCTCTGTTTCTAGGATCCCGTCTGCGTTACTCATCATATTAGTTAAAAATCAACAACTTGAACAAGAGTGTTTTGTAAAGTGATGGACACAGAATCACTTCAATAACGACCAACAAAACGAGCATCAAACACATAAAAACAGAGTCCCAATTTGGCCACTCTCTGCTTCTTCAAACTGTTTTCAGGTCAGTGAACAACTGTAAAAACTACAGCGTCACTTTCAGATCCATCCGCATTTAGTTGATTCACCTTTTTCTGCTGCCCGGAAAGGCAAAACAACTCCACCACACAGCGACCACAAACAGCTCCAGCTTTACTTTCAGTTAATAAACTAAACACAACCATTTGTTTTTCACAGGTGGAACAAGGAAGTCTGAGGTTTCGTCTGCCACGTCTGTCAGCCAAGCAACAGCAAGAATTTCTGACTGTATGACCTCCGAATGACACGATGACTAACATGAGCAGAAAAAAAATTGAGTCTGGTCTGATACTTGTTTTGAAAAATGCTGCGAAGAAGTCATTCAATTAGTGGCACGTGACTGAAGCAAGTTTATCTAAATTACCAAGCATCATCAATTAAGTTAGATTAAATAATTAAATAATCCGCTTCCTCTCAAATGAACAGTTACTGCAACTTAATTTCAAGGAAAGTTATCTTGAAGTTTCACATTTTTCCAGCTTATATAATTATTTCATCCAAAAGTAAAAATGTAAAATGTGAGTTTGTCATTAGAAGTCTGGTTCTTTCCTTTTCTTTAGTCTGTAATCTCACTGGAATAAAATGCTGGTTGGGTTGCAGGAGTGAATTTGAAGAATGTGGATGTCATGATGTAAAATTAAAGTCATATTTACATTTTTTGCATTTTAACGAAAACTAGAAAACCGGATTAAAGAGTCAAAGTGTAATTTCAAGTTGATGGAATTCACAACAACAAACTGCCATCAGCAGTTACATCATAGAAATACATAATACTGAAGAGAAGATGGTTTAACTACAGCCTGATGCTACAGAACACAATTATATTGGTGACTTTTTCAAGTAACTAAATATATTTACTCAAGCACTATTTTGAGTTACTTTACTCAAGTATTTTCTGTTTTTGCTCCCTCAAGCTTCTAATCTACCTCATTTTCTTACTCCTCTGTGTTTATTGCACATTAAAGTTTGACTTAGCAGCAGCGTCTGGCTGTGTGAGCTTTGTTTTGTGACCCTCCAGTCGGAAAACCCCAGATTACACTGTACATAAAGTAGTTTGGATCAGCTCCACCATGACTAAGGCTACTTCTAGGTTCATGCATCAGCTTTAGCAACAGTTCAATCCCAAAAAGCCTATGTTGTACTGATTAAATACTTTGAGTAAATTTAGCTGAAAATACTTCTGTTCTTCAGAATTTTTTAATTTTACATAGTTTCTTTTTTTTTCTTTTTTAACAAAGTGAAGGCCCTGAATGCTGTTACTATTACTGGACTAGTTCAGACTACCCAGGGGGGGAAATCCCTAACACACACACACACACACACACACACACACACACACACACACACACACAAGCAGCAAATCACAGCTTAAACTGAAACCAAGCAGCAGCTCATTTGTAATCTTCAAATTAAACTATCTGAACACTTCAAATCTCAGCTAATGTTGTGTTTCAGCCACAGATTGCCACTTTTCCATCCATCCATTCATTCATTCATTCATTCACTGACTGAAACTCTCTCAGGCTGAAAGCACATGTAGTGAAGCCTCCCCTCTCCTCCTCCTCCTCCTTCTCCTCCTCCTCCTCCTCCTCCTCCACACTCTCACACCTTCCTCTTTCTGTAAAAGTAACATGAACAAACTTACATTTCATCCTTGTGCTGCCGCTGCTGCCGCTGTAGTAAACAAACCTCCTCCCGAGCTCCAGCGTGTGCTGCTGTTGGTGTGTGTGATTGTGTTTGTGTGGACAAAATGTAAAAGTTCCCTTTTATAGAAGTGTATGACACATCACCTGAGTCATCAGCCATCGTCGCTCATTGAAGCATCAACGCCCACGCTGGCCAGCCCCCCCCCCCTTCCACCACCACCACCACCACTACACTCTCTCTCTCAATTTAATCCCCCAGTTTGTCTCCAATTTCTTTGTTTGTTGAGGTGAATCTGAAATATAAAACAGCAGAAGGGTCAGAAAACACCAAATTGAGCAACACTTCTTTAATTTCTTCTTCCTTCTTCCCCTCTCCCATCCTCATGGCATCAATTCACTTTCTTCTTCTTCTGTTGTTCACAAACTAAACTGAGAGAAAGAAGAAGAAAATCTTAGTTTTTCCTGTATGTGTCTTTACAATTCTACTTTTTGGGGTTATGAGTTTTCTGCTACAACAGATAAAATAACAGAGACTGGCAGGAGGAATACGAAACGTGAAAGTTTCTCTAATCTTTATGCAATCACTTCACTTTCTTCTTTTGTTTTTAGCTGAGAAATGAGAGAAAGAAAAAAAATAGCCCTTATTCTTATGTATGCTTTACAATGCTTCTTTTTAAGGTTATGAGCCTTCGACAAAAAAAAAACAAAGACTGACAGGAGGCATATGAAACCAGAATGCAGCTGAGAAACTCCCTCAGCCTGCTGTTTATACATTAAACTGGGAGAAAAAAGAAGAAAATATTAGTTTTCCCTGTATATAACATCATAATTCTTCTTTTTAAGGTTACACGTCTTCTGCTAAAACATGTAAAATAACAGAGACTGGAAAGAATATGAAATGTAAAACTCCCTCTCATCCTCATGCCATCCCTTCACTTTCTTCTTCTACTTAAGTGAATTTAGCAACTTCCTGCTGTTCACGCACTAAA